GGATGGCCACGCCACAACCCCTTCTCCTCCATTCTCCTCTTGGGATCTTGGGCACGCACGCACATGTGCCGGGCGTGAGTTTAAGCCACGGGGTCGGGTACTTGAACCGCGAGTGACTACATGGGAGTCCAGCGACATAGCCATTATGCTAACTGCTGGTCCCGACAATTTTTCTTTTTTAAAGTAATTTTATTTATTGCTTTAATTTTGACCAGAGAGGGAGAAAGTAAGCTGCCGGCTCCAAACTGGAATCATGGTTGGCCATGTGAGAATCCAGCACCTTAACCACCCACCATGCCACCTGCCGGCCCCAGGGAAAGAAGGGTTTTATCTGCATCCTGTAATTCAGCTGACAGCTTAGCTTCCTGGTAGTCAAGAAAGTGAAACTGGAGCCAGGCTTTCTAGATCTGTCTGCCCTGGTTTCTTCATCTGCTTAGTAGAGGTGATTAACATGCTTCCCTAATGGCGTTGTGAGAATTCAATGAGAATAGTGTGTATAAAACGTCTCACCCAGTGCAGGTTTTTTTTTTTTTTTTGGAGAGATTTTCACTGTAGGGCGCTCGCCAGACAGACAGAGAGAGACACAGAGACAGAAAGCGAGAAACCACCCCCCAGGGGGGATGGTCACGCCGCAATCCCTTCTCCTCCATTCTCCTCTCGGGATCTTGGGCACGCACGCACATGCGCCCGGCGTGAGTTTTAAGCCACCGGGTCCGGGACACAAACCGTGGTCGACTATGTGGGAGTCCAGCAACATAGTCATTACGCTAACTGCTGGTTCCCACAGTGCAGGGTTTGTAAGCACTTGGTGAATATTGGCTATTGACTTTTTGTTTATTGAGCATATAGAGAGCACTGCTATGACCACAGGATCTCAGAAGATTTCTATGTATCTGGTTGTTGTGTTATACACTCACCAGAGAGAAAGAAAGGGAGAAAGCACACCCCAATGGGACATGGTCATGCCACAGTCCTTTCTCCATTTCTGCATCCTGTCTGGATTTGGGGCATGCATGCATGCATACCTAATGTGTTTTTCAAGCTGCCTGGGCAGGATTTGAACTGCAATCCATATGGGATCTGGCTCCCTCAGCCACTAGGCTATGGGGCTAGCCCTAGTGTCTCTGCCCTTGAGCCAGAGTGTAATGATCTTCACATTTCCTTTAGAGCTCTTGGGAGGAAGGGTTTCTGCTGAATTACTAGATAGGAGCGACATCACCCCTCCCCTCAGGGAGTTCCTGTGAATCCAAGCGGTGTGGGAGATGACCATGGCCCTTCACTGACCCCTTTGGCCCACAGTGGGTTCAGCTATGTGGACCTAGTGGAGGGGTTACATGATGGACACTTCTACGCCCTGAAGCGAATCCTGTGTCACGAGCATCAGGACCGGGAGGAGGCCCAGCGAGAAGCGGACATGCATCGCCTCTTCCACCACCCCAACATCCTTCGCCTCGTGGCTTACTGTCTGAGGGAGCGGGGTGCCAAACATGAGGCCTGGCTGCTGCTACCCTTCTTCAAGGTCAGCAAGACTCCTGTTATGGAGGGGGTTGCAGCAGAGCAACCTGACAAGGGCTGTGTGAGCATCAAGGATGGTTAGGAAGCAGGGGCCATGTCCTGGGATCGGCCACTTCTGGTTTGGGGTTTAGGAGAGCCCAAGGGTGACTGTGGGGTCTGAGCCGTGTTTGGTGAAAGGGCTGATAGACTTTGATGTAGGAAAGTGATCTAGTCCAGTCTCAGAGGCACCCAAACCATCTCCAACTTGTGTTGCAGAAAGGTACACTGTGGGAGGAGATAGAGCGGCTGAAGGACAAAGGCAGCTTCCTGACTGAGGAGCAGATCCTTCAGCTGCTGCTGGGCATCTGCAGAGGCCTTGAGGCCATTCACACCAAGGGCTATGCCCACAGGTCAGTGGCAGGGCCCTGTACATGTGCAGGGGTGAGAGGTAGAGCCTCCAGAAATGGGAGGTCTCTGCTGTCCTCTCAGGAAACCGTTTTCATAATCCTTTTACTCCGAGGTTGCAGTCTGGCTGTGCAGGGCTGCTCATAGGGCATTTCCACTTCCCTACAGGGATCTGAAACCCACCAATATCTTGCTTGGAGATGAGGGGCAGCCAGTTTTAATGGACTTGGGGTCCATGAATGAGGCATGCATCCACGTGGAGAGCTCCCGCCAGGCCCTGACCCTGCAGGTGAGTCTCCAGGTTCCTTTGTCCACCTGGTCCCCTGCCTCACCTTTTGGTGCATGCTCCAGTTTGGTCACATGACCATAGCCTGTGCCCTACTTTTGAGTCCTGGGGCCACTGTTCCAGGACTGGGCAGCCCAGCGGTGCACCATCTCCTACCGGGCCCCGGAGCTCTTCTCAGTGCAGAGCCATTGTGTCATCGATGAGCGGACTGATGTCTGGGTGAGGAGCACGTGGGGGAGGGTGCGGCTCTGTCCCTACCGCGAGGTACAGGAGGTCTTTGGTTTCTGTTGCATGGGGCCCAGGAACCACAGTGTGTCCCCATTCCCCTCAGCTTCCTTCCTGGGAACTGTCACTGATACTGTACGCAATTGCACAGGAAATGGTTTAATCCCAGTCCCTGAACAGGGTGGGTACAGCTGTGTCGGTGCTGAAGGCAGTGGCTAAGCAAGGGCTACAGAGGCCTCCAGCTAACTGGCCGTTTCTCTAGGTCCTGGTGGTGCCATGTGGCTGATGTCTGCATGTTCTTTTTGGCTTATGTAGTCTCTTTTCACCACAGAAGAGGAAAATGTCACTTCTGTTGGTCCCCTTCCAGGGACTGACCAATCTATGCTCAGTCCCTAGGCTGTGTGCTGTATGCCATGATGTTTGGGGAAGGCCCTTACGACATGGTGTTCCAGAAGGGTGACAGTGTGGCCCTTGCTGTGCAGAACCAGCTCAGTATCCCGCAAAGTCCCAGGTGAGCAATTGGGAGATATGGGGGGCCTGGAACACTGGCGAGGACTCCATGGTGTCAAATTGGGGTCTTCACAAGGGGCTCAGGTCAGTGGCAGGGCCATGCACAGGTGCTGGGGCAGCCTCAGTCACCCTGCCCTCCTCCCTGTACAGGTACTCTTCAGCGTTGCGGCAGCTGCTGGCCTCGATGATGACTGTGGACCCCCAGCAGCGCCCTCACATTCCTCTCCTCCTCAGTCAGTTGGAGGCCCTGCAGCCCCCAGCTCCTGACCAGCACACTACCCAAATCTGAAGACCAGTGGCCATGTTGAAGTGGCTTCTTGTGCCTTGGAAAAGGGGCTCCATTCCTCACCGGACGCATCATCAGTCCTTTCCCGGACTTTCTTACAGTTTAGGGTAGGGGGCTGGGGAAAGTCACCCCAGTCCTGCATCTGCTCTTCTGCCCTCGTAGCTGCAGGAGCAACACCTGGGCAAGGAGCCTGAGGGTAGGGTGCAGGAAAGGGAAACCGAGGGCATGTGGTGGATGGCTCTGAGCGGGTCGCTGAGCTCACATCATGTTCTGTCTCCACATGGGGGCAGGAGAGTGTGTAAACAATAAAGTGGAAGCAGGTCAGTGCGGATCTGTGTTCTGGAGTGGTGCGAGGTACACACAGCCCAGGGTGGCTGTTTCTAAGAGAACAGCCTGAGAAGAGGCACTGGTGTGGAGTCAGCAGTGACGTGACTTCATTCCCCGCAGAAGGAGGCAGCTGTCCTGATCCTAGCTATGGCTGGGTGCTAGTGGGCAGTTCTAGTCAAAACCTTAGAGCTGCTGAGGCTTGATCTGACTTCTTTCCACTGTGCCAAGGACTGGGAGCAGGGCTTCCCTAAAAGCACACTCAGCTAGTTCTTTCCTCCCTTCATTGCCAGGGGTGGGTCGCTTAGTCAGAGCAGCCCAGCCGGTTTGCCAGGCAAAGGCCTCTGGGTGGAGACACCGGAGGAAGCTTTGGGACAGCTCCATAACAGGTCTCCCATCCCCAGCCTGGGGCCTAGGGGAGTGGACGTGGCAGCCATTTTGGCCGCATCTCCCTGATGGCTCCCGCTCACACATGGTTAATGATTAATGAGGTTAGCATGGTGTGGCAGTATCCAGCTGCCACTTCCTGTCTGCTCTGCTGAGTAAACATGGGCCCTGCCTTAGCTGGGCTTGAAACCTGTTCCCCAGGGAAGGACACTGCGTCCCTGAATCACCAGGGAGGAAAGGCAAGGGCAGGGTTGGCATCTCCTTCTGAGATCGATGCTCCCCCTGCACGCCCACCCCCCCCTCCACGCTGACGTCAGCATGGGTCCTGGGGTGCCTATTAGCAAAGTTGAAATTTTCTCCAGGGCCCTGGCAGGAGGCCCCACCAGCTAGCATGGAGGCTGAGGCCAGAAAGAAAGCACAAACAGAGGAGACGACCTGACTTTTAATGGCACACCCCAGCCCCAGCCAAGCGGTCAGACAGACAGTAAGCTATGCAAAGCTGCTGGAGGGGCAGGGGCACAGACAACCGGAGATCGCTCTCACTCCCTCCCATCCCCCAAGCTATGGCATGACTCCATGGCCAGGAACCCTGGGCCAGGCCAGCCCTGTTCTCAAACCCTCATCAGGCAGAGCAGCCTGGGCCAAGTCTTGCTTCCAGAGCTGGTGAATGTAGAAGCGGCAGGAAGAATAGCGTGGCAAGCAGTCCAGCTCCAACTCCAACACAGAAACTGCCGGACTTGACCTCCCACTTGGAAAGGAAGGAGAGACTTGTATCCTTCAATAGTTTGTGGCAGGACAGGTCCAGGATTTGATCCTCATTCCCTCCCTACCCTGGGTGTCCCTGGGACCTTACACCCAGGTCCCTGGGGTCAGGCTTCCTGGGCCTGGCAAGGGCCCCTTGGCAGATCTCCCCTTCATGGAAGGAAAAAGGGTCACGAGCAGCAAATATGGCAGAAGCAGCAGCAGCAGCAGCAGCACAAAGGGGAAGGCAGCAGGAGCTCGGGCACTCACAGAGGAAACAAGAAACCGTGCACGGAGACTGTTTATTTCGAAAGGATTTTGCAATAAACATAGTGAACAGGCTCCAGCCAGTTGTTCTATTCTTCTCCCTCATCCTCGTCCTCATAGGAGTCGATGCCCACCTCCTCGTAATCCTTCTCCAGGGCAGCCATATCCTCCCGGGCCTCGGAGAACTCCCCCTCCTCCATGCCCTCACCCACATACCAGTGCACAAACGCCCTCTTGGCGTACATCAGGTCGAACTTGTGGTCCAGGCGGGCCCAGGCCTCGGCAATAGCGGTTGTGTTGCTCAGCATGCACACGGCACGCTGCACCTTGGCCAGGTCACCCCCAGGCACCACGGTGGGCGGCTGGTAGTTGATACCGACCTTGAAGCCCGTGGGGCACCAGTCCACAAACTGAATGCTGCGCTTGGTCTTGATGGCGGCGATGGCGGCGTTGACATCCTTGGGCACCACGTCTCCGCGGTACAGCAGGCAGCAGGCCATGTACTTGCCGTGCCGGGGGTCGCACTTCACCATCTGGTTGGCAGGCTCGAAGCAGGCGTTGGTGATCTCCGCCACCGACAGCTGCTCGTGGTAGGCCTTCTCTGCAGAGATGACGGGGGCGTAGGTGGCTAGGGGGAAGTGGATGCGCGGGTAGGGCACCAGGTTGGTCTGGAACTCTGTCAGGTCCACGTTCAGGGCCCCGTCGAAGCGCAGGGAAGCTGTGATGGATGAGACGATTTGGCTGATGAGGCGGTTGAGGTTGGTGTAGGTCGGGCGCTCGATGTCCAGGTTGCGGCGACAGATGTCATAGATGGCTTCGTTGTCCACCATGAAGGCACAGTCTGAGTGCTCCAGGGTGGTGTGGGTGGTCAGGATGGAGTTGTAGGGTTCCACCACGGCGGTGGACACCTGCGGGGCTGGGTAGATAGAGAACTCCAGCTTGGATTTCTTGCCATAATCGACGGAGAGCCGCTCCATCAGGAGCGAGGTGAATCCAGAGCCGGTGCCGCCTCCAAAGCTGTGGAACACCAGGAAGCCCTGAAGGCCCGTGCACTGGTCGGACTGAAAGGCAAGGGAAAAAAAAAGCAACGTAGGTACAAGGTCTGAGGAACTGTCTTTTCTTACTCCCTAAAGCCCCAAATCTGAGAAGTCAGGGCCAAGACTAATGACTATTCTGGAAAGTGTAGTTAGAGATGACCCCCTGAAGGGATCGAATAAAACATTCCTAGCCATTAGCATAATCTCAAAAGGTCCCTCCCTTCCCTGTCAAATGCTCACCAGCTTGCGGATGCGGTCCAGCACAGGGTCGATGATCTCCTTGCCAATGGTATAGTGTCCGCGGGCATAGTTATTAGCCGCATCCTCTTTCCCAGTGATGAGCTGCTCTGGGTGGAAGAGCTGGCGGTAGGGGCCATTTCGGATCTCATCTGGAAGCGCATAAAGCACATTGTCAGGACAGAACCCACAAGGCTCCCTCAGCAGGGACCTCCTCCCCAGGGGGTTGCTGCAGCAGATGCAGAGAGCAGCACATCCTTCTGCCAGCTGAGATAACCACCCCCCTCCCAGACCTGCTGCCCAGGAAAGCCCAAGATCAGCTTGCCTTTTCAACTTCAGATAGGACTAGGCATGTTCAGGGTTCGGAAAGCCAGGTCTAGACACCCTCTCTCCAGTCACGCTCCATCGCTACCCCACCCCCCAGTTTTGCCCCCTTTTCCTCTCACCAATTACAGTGGGCTCCAGATCCACAAAAACTGCTCGGGGAACATGTTTTCCAGCACCAGTTTCACAAAAGAAGGTGGTGAAGGAGTCGTCCCCTCCACCAATGGTCTTGTCACTGGGCATCTGCCCGTCGGGTTGAATCCCATGTTCCAGACAGTAGAGCTCCCAGCAGGCATTGCCCATCTGGACACCTGCCTGCCCCACATGGACTGAAATGCATTCACGCTAAGAGAGAGACGGAGGGGGGAACACAGCATAAGCCCAACATCCCCACATTTGAACCCTGTATGAGCCACTCTCCCCCCTACCCCCTACCAGCCAGGATGACTCAGATGGCAAGAGGGGAGACTTGGGCTGGGGAGAGGTCCAGAAGACACTGGCAGCCTCCACTCCCCCAGCTCCCCTGCACAGGACTCCCCGGCTGGAGACACCCAGCAAGGCAGGGCAACCCCTTAGCCTGCTGCTCAGTGGGGGGAGGGTTGTCAGGTGAGAGCCACGGGCACCACATGACCCTGCTCCATTCACAGGACATTCAGGGAGGACAGAGAGGGCACAGACACTGCAGTGACTGAGACAACGATAGCTGCTCCAGATCCCCACGCCCAGGAAACCCAGCTTTCCCAAGAACCTGAGGGAGCAAAAGGTCTCTCAGAGCTGTGACTTTGTGGCCTTTGCTTTGAGGATGAACAACTGGAATTAAGTACGACCCTACCTCCCTTTCTTTCCTGCCAGCTTTCCGATCTGGCCACGCTGGCCATCAGGATGCCTCCTCCCCTCACCTTTAAGTCCCATCTGGCTCTGGGGATCAATCCGGTCTGCTTCCTCTCCCCACCTCCACCCGCGCACTCTGGGTGTCTTCGCCACCTTCACCGTCAGCCCTCACGGAAATAGCAGCGATAAAGCTGGTAAGCGCAGGCTGCAGGGGCGGGCGGTAGGGTTGTGGGCACTGGGGCACTCTGGCTGCCATAGGCTCCATTTCTGCCAGTCCGAAATTAACCCCTAATGCACCGAAGTCTGCAGGCGCCCCTCCCTTCCCACACCGAAATGGCGGGGCGACGGTTTCCAAATACCCAGAAAAGGAAGCGGAACCTGTGGTGAGGCCCCAGAGGTAACCCGCCTTGCCCTGGGCAGAGTGAGCGCCATCCTGAACCCCGGCCCTACGTCCGCT